GGAGACAGCCAAAAAATCCAAACATCGTGTGTGAAAAAGTTGAATACTGTAACACTATGTCACCACTTCTGTTGGTGACAAAATAACAACCTCTTGGAGGTGACATAAAATTCAAGAAATCATAATAATACTGGCATGTGTTATGAGTCAATAACACTAGAACACATGGATGTGTATGTGCCTCTGTTTTCAATCTCTTATTCGTAGACTTTTGCCTGTTGACATAAATTCTAATGAAACACCTGTAAAGTATCTTATGATGATCTCAATGTCTAAGATGATATGATATATGACAGATACATCCGCTCTGGGTGGTGAGAATGATCCAACAGTCTGTACATATACTTGGCAAGTCACGACACATTCCATATATAAAAAGTCACATTGACCAAGATATTGATAAGGCCCAGTTTACATATGCATACATGTTTATATCTAGTAAATATTATTTGTCATACGTATACCTGGTATAAAATCACTGGTAAAACATTTTGTCCACCATTACATGTTATAATACTTAGATCCTCGTTAGATCCACACCTAATGATTTCATGTAGAATATCTTATATCAGAGTCAGGTCTGTACCCAGGGTGCAAGGGAACCCTCCTTGGCCAAAAAAATCTTTCAAAACCAAGGAGTTTTACACCATTCTGAGCACTTTTTAAGTGATTTTTGGCCAAAGTTGTCAAAAGCAAATTCCCTGGAAATTTTTGAAAAGTGAACCCCCTTGACAAAAACTGACTATGGATGATGAGTCCTGAAGATGACATGGTATATGAGTTTACATTACAAAATAACACCATTGAAAAGTGTCAGTATACATAATTAAGACAGCTAAACCAACTATCAGAAGATAAGAACCGTTTTATGTATTTGTTTTAACTGATAAAAAAATTGGTCACATACCTTCAGGTGTAGATCAAGACTTGTCTTTCTTTAATGAAACAAAAGGTTATTCTCGAGACATGTGAAGTCAAATGATTGCTCTCAATTCGTTAACCTTACTTTCATGTATTTATACTGGTTTAACTTTAATACATTTGAAATATACCCATTTCAAGTAGCAGTAACTTTTACTGTTAAGAATCAATTGAAACTGTCGATATCAATTATTTACAATCTGTGACCCCTGAACTAAAAATAAAGTTGTGAGATTTATGAATGAATCCGTATCCTAAAATGTTTACAGAGGACGTGTTATCTGCCTGTGTCAATTAAACCAACGTGAGTCTCATACTAAATAGATAAAATATAGAACTATTGATCTCTACGATCGTGACATTATTAAGTAAAATATGTTTACATGATACTGACTTTCTCTCTATATTGCTTTTTGTCTTCAATAAATATATCAATGGCTGACCTTAAATAACATTCAAATTTTTACATTCTATTTTCTAAAAGAGGGAAACTTGTATATCAGTGGCAGGTTTCTCATATACAGTTTATTATGTCACCACCACAAGTGGTGAGATATTGTTAGTCTCCAACTTTTTTGTGGCGGCAGTTGGTTTGTGACAGATTATCTTGTCACTCTCAGTTTCAAGTTCATTTCTTAGGTGACAAAAGCTCTCGTCACACTTGGTAGTCAAGAGGTAAACTTCCAACCTTGACATTATATTTATATGCTTTTATTTACTAATATAGCTTCATGTTTTTGTAACTTTTTTATACTGGACAAACTCATAAATCTAGTGACCCATATGTCAGAGATACTGACATGATTAAAAATCAGTAAAAGATATGTTTGAAGATAAAATTATAGTTATAGTTGAACAATGGCTGACAGATAAACAGAACTTGTGTGGCAGTTTTTAGAATTATCCTGGCACAAATAAGTGTTACATTGTTCGAGCTCTTCAAACTGTCCATCGGGCCAAGTATGTGACAGTTATTAATTCGAACTGTTGCACATGCTACAAACGGAGTTATCATCCCAGGTATCCCAGCCTGTAACATCCACCTCGACACCTCCCAAATGTAGCACAGTATGATGGGATAGAGAGAGCCTCCATTCACCAAACTGGCTGCCAGTTTGTTATTTACAGACACAATAATAACTGACTTCTGTTATGAAAGGAAACATCTCAAACATGCATATACATTCCATCCTCCTTACATGGTCAATATATGAGTTTATGTAAGGTGAATTCATAAATGGAAACATCAAAAAATATATAATGAAGTTAAAGATTTGAAAATGAAACTATTGTAACAGCAATGTGTAATATGCGCAACAAGTAAAAATACAATCCTATTCAAATTGAGTTTATTTTTGAAACATTATAATTGATACATTTTTCAAGTAAGTCAGTTTTTTACTTACATTCTGATATTTCTGAAATAGTATCCAAATGGCTTCTTAGATTACACATGATGAAATTGTTATTCATATTTCATAATTAAAAAGCTGAGAATACATCCATTTAGAATTCCCTTCCTCTCCTACAGAAATAGTACTTGATTTCTATATATTGGGTGATATTCTCATATTGGTTTGACTCAACTCCTGTAGAATATCTGTTTCTTGGACATATCTACCAGATAATGTAAGTTTACTTACCAAAAATGTTGAACATGGAAAACAATTTGTCAAATAGTGATCTGTCATCACTAAGTTGTATTTGCCAGAATGACTAAATTCCTAGGCACATTCTCAAAGTTTAAGGGATGATGTTCAAAATATCAATAGTTGTGAAATATGAGTTGGTTTTTGGCCTCTCTCTCTCTCTTGCACTAAGATTAAAACCTAGAAAAGGTTAATTTTCCATTTACATTCACTTGATTTCTCAAACCCCTCCATTCAACAAAATCATTTTCTTTTGTTCAACTTGATTTTGGACACCATCCCTGAGATTGAGACATCATTTAGTTATAACATTGAATATGAAGCTGTAGACACATGTGTAAATAAATGGATGACTTGCACAAGGCAAAGGTTAATGCAACTTCCTGCTTTATTTTAATCACATTATTTACAATAGACTGACTGAAAGATAAAACCAGTTAATGTTTTTTAAAGTTAAATTGAAATGTGGCCAAATTTCTATGTTAATCTAAAGAAACATGTTTTTACCATATTATGGGTTTTTTCTTGTGCAAGACAGGTTTTTCATAAAAGTCAAAAATAAAGATTAAAATATTTTATCTTTACAAGGAATAAAAATGACTTCTCTTACCTGTCAAGCAGAAATATGTCATTGTTAATCCAGGAAATTTTGTATTTAGTACAACTTCAGTCAAACATCTTGGTTTTTATAACAATCAATATCTAATTACTTTTATTACTATTTGAGTCATTTTATGGGTTTAACATGTGCTATTTTCTAATCACTATACCTCTATCACAGCAAGGAGGGACATATGTGAGAAAAAATGCATTCATGAAATGTTATCATATGCAGGGGTCACACATTTCATATATTTTAAAGCTTGTGTGCATGCCTTTTGAGAAAACAAATTATTTATTCAACATAGAAAACCCGGCTTATCTAATGTTCCATCTAGATGTTGATGGCCGTGACATTCCAAAAATGTATTTGAAGTATTTGAGGCTTACAAGCAGGGTTATGAAACCCTTGCTTTTATTACAAGAATATAATTCCTTATTTCAACTTGAAGGTGATTTACTGCGATAAGATCATCAGAGCAGTTATTCATTTTAGATTAGATATCTATAGATATCAGAAAAGTCATGCTATACTCTTGTCAAGTCTTCTTGCAACATTTTTGTCATCTCAAAACTGACTAAAATGGAAAGTACCTTTCTTTCAACTTAAGCACAACAAACAACTGCTTACCTGTTAAACACATCAAATGATTAGAACAATCAAGCATCCATCCCCTCTTATTATTTCGAAATTCTCCACCCTGTCAGCGTTGTTCAACCTCTCCTGATCTGTAATTCCTACACCACTGAATACTAATCACCCGTTCTTTACTACCAAATTCTTCAGGTACCAGTAAACAATGCAAGATGTTCTCATAATTGTTTGGACGTTTTTTATGGTAAGAGTGGTAGGGTTTGCCTGATGGCAGTTAAATGCTAATGTGATTGTTACTGCTGACCTTACCAGGAGATACCCTTAATAAATACCTGACTTCACCTGCACTCTTGAAATAAGATGTGATTTGATCTAACTTATATCCAAAAGAAACATGGTTAAAATCGTGAAACTAAATAACCTGCCTATGAACAGCTAACATTAACCTAAGATTCAAAATGCACAAAGGCAAAATTTGAATTCACTATGATCAATCAGCATTAAATCTGAAAATCCATGTCATAGTCAGAGGTTAGGTGGCTAGTAAATCTAGATTCAGGGTGCCAGGAGAGTTATGAACAAGTGGTACATATATCAGGATAATGATCTCAAACAGACAAACTTGTACATCAAAACATAATTCTAGCACTCCCTTTCTAGCATTATTACTTTTTTCTGATTTACATACATTTTTAATGACAACGAGACAGTTTCAAACATACCATCATACCTTTAAACAATATATCACTATTCTAATAAAAAAAATACATGTAAAATCCAATTGTCATTTCACAACCGACATAAGAATGAAGTGATTTGCAAGAATGACACAATTTTTTAGATCCTTTGAATTCTATTCCCAAACTTCCAGTGCAAGCTCATAAAACATTGTGGCAAAGAGGATGGGCCCAGCATCCTTACACAGTAAAATATGCACAATAAATCATATTTTACCTACATCCTGTCTGTATATAGAAGAAAAGGCCATTGTTGTCCTTTTCTTTAGTTGGTCTTTTATGTGATGCCGATCAAAGGGAGGAAGACAATTTGAAAGTCCCGTAAATTTCTATTCTAATAAAGCTTCCTCTATCCTATTATGAACATGTTTTTAATGTAATTAATCAAATGCTCTTTAACAAACTATATTGCGACCCTTGAACCTACATGCATCTCATACATGTTGTTCAATATTTTACGACATCATGACTGTTCAGATAAAATATGACATCTCTTACCTGCTGTCAATGTTGACATCGGACTGGCGTCACTGTGGGTGATGTCAGGTGTGTTCAGTTCGCTACTCCCCAAAGATGACACGCTCGTAAATGTCTCATCTGGATTTGTTCCTGGGACTGGAGATTTGTCACCTAGCAACAGGCCCAATCTTACCATCAAGTCATTTTGAGCGACATCTGGTGGTGGTGGGGGTAACTGTTTACCAGCACCTAAAATATGGAGTCACTTTTTAAGTCACAGACTTACAGTCCAAAATAATACACCTATGTGAGATTAAACATTCGTTGTTAATGCAAATAGATGTAAGATACAATAAAAAGCTATTAAGGAATCAAAATGAACAGCCAGTCTTGTATCAATGACAAACCCTCCTTCCCAACCTGCTATGGTCTTGTAAATGGGTTATATATGGGCTTGATGCAAGACTACGGAATGGAATGAAGTAACCACAGGACAACACACAAACTGACCATGTTCCTCTTTTAGAAGACTAAACATATTGGATTTCACGGATAAGGGCCTTTTGCCTTGTGGTACATGGCCATGGAATGTTGCGGCCACACGACACATGGTTAGAATTTCAGAGCAAATCAGCCAGAGTTGTTGTGAGAGTATGAAAGAATGATAAACAAGCAGATCAAAGCTCCATATACAGATATAGATATGGGAAACCAAAATAAATACACCATCTCAAAAATAGATTTTGTTGGTATTTCTGATAAAGTGTCTGATAATATAGAATACTCCTCGGTAGTGACATCTTTCTATCAATTCTATTGATTTATTTCAATGATCAACCAAACATTGTGGAAATAGTCAGTCTATTCTTTAGGTGGCAGATGAGTGGTGGTTAAATTTGAGAATATTTGGAAAAGATTTGCCTTGTTGTAATTATTGTTCTACAAGGCCATTAAATAAAGGGCACATCAAAAATATCTCATTGGAAGGAATACCTTTTTTTGTTCCTATGCATTTTATGTACACATGCGTGCAAAGATTTAAAACATTTCAAACAGTTTGCTTTCACATTTTGCATGTTTCCCCTACTTTAATGGCATGGGACTCCATCTACTATGTTATATAGAGCTATCTTATCATTATAAAGGATTACATGATTTCATTAATGATATATGTATTTCATCGTGTTTATCAATAATAATTTTTACCTTGATTTGTTTGGTTGGTTGAATTCTGTTTACTAACTCGACTGCTATTATCTATAGTATGTGAGTGTCCATTCTGCATTGTTATATTATTGTCCAATCCAACCCCATATTCACTTCTTGTGTCACTTATACCAGAGTTTCTACGTCCTGTACCATTGTTAATTTCATCGTCACTGTCAGGATAGGGCATTGGAGGAAGACTGGGGGCTCGTTGGCTTGAGGCATAGTGGTGATCTTTAGAAGCAATAGGTGGCCCTAATGTACCTGAAAATATAAAAAAGTCCAGCTTACATTAATAAAGCACTGTGGTTTCTAATATAAGTTAAATTAGAGGACATTATAAAATGAATGCCAACTAACAAGGCCACATCACAGATTTAAAATTTACGAATGGGATAATAACATGTATACTTATATTATATTTCAATATACAGTAAAACCTGTATAACCACCAGACACTTCTGTAAACTGAAACTTCACACTGAACACTTTTTTCAGTCCTGTTTTTATTCTGTCAATATACGAGTACTTCGATGTTAAAAACCTTGATATGCAAACACCCGCCAATTTGAACATGACTGGTCCAAGTGCAGTAGTATTCAGATGAGGCAGGTTTTCTGGGCATAACATTTTAATTTGCATTGCTATACAACAACATACAATAATTATGCCAAATATATTTAAATAAATGACATTTCCATAAAAGTAAACCTAATACATCATTTTTACTGATGCTTTATCTTTCAATCATGCATCAGTGCACCGCAATCTAACATGTTGTATCCATGTTACGCAGTTGCTTTATGCCAAAAACAACTTTACATGTTTTACTTCTCCCAACACTCAGTACTCTTAACAACTACCACATGTCTAAGGTTAGACTATTACTCATTAGGAAAATTATGCAACTTGTAACTTCTTCAGAAACAGTTGGCTTGGTGATTTAAGTAAATAAATCATAATTGGTTGCCATAGTAACTCTGTGACATGAGATAATATTAGCTTATCTAAAAAAATGAATTTTGACATTTTAAGTATGATGTATGAGGAAGAATTTCCAGATCCCAGAATTTACTAAAAACAAAATATGAGTTGAACTTTCCATTGTGCATGTGCTAGCCAGCCCATTTACCTTGAGCTATTACTTGACATCATTACATTGGGCTCTACCAAATTTTGTATATCTAATAAAATTTGACATTTGTCCACTAATTATATTTTCCTATATTTTTGATATAATATAGGGTGAATATTGATCAACAATTTAAACCAAGTTTGCAAACTATTGCAATTTGTCCTAGGTTAGGCTGTTTTTTTTCACCAATTGACTGGCCTTTAAATCCTGGTAGAAATGTATCAGGTGAAAAAGTACCTCTCAGTGACCATGAAAGGGGCATGGCTACTGATGTGAGAAAAATAACAGGCTAAAAAAGTAATTATTATTGATTGACTGTGAGCAAATATCACACTCTTTTTGTAAACTGTACTTTGCTGTTTAATCTATTTAAAAGTTAAGGTATGGTTAACCACAATAAAAGTTCAACCTTTAATGTTTTCTCCGGTCTTAGGGAGACTGAGCAAAATGATGGGAAGATAGTGATGGATTAGCCCCAGTTCAACTGTACATTCGATATGGCAGAACAGAACCACAAGGGCAACCTGTCATTATGCATTACAATCTGAGAGTTGAACCTCAGTAAGTGTAAGGTGCAACTGATAAAGTGAGACCATAAGTAATAATCTCCTTAAAAAGTCAAACATCTATTGCCAAGCCACATGTTTCTAGCCCTTGATGAGTTACAAAACAGGGAAATGAATAAACTTAGTCTCAAGGTGACATTCTCATTATTAAAGTTGACCTAAGTGACAAAGATGACAGTATAAGTAGTGATTTCAAATCTAGTTTTATAGTAAACAAGAGCCCTGAGCATGCTAGACATGATTAGGACAAGACCTATATCTTGTTAATATATGTGGAGACTCCCTCAGCAAGGTTAGTGTGGTGACATACAGATAAAATTCCTCTCTGACACTTACAAGGAGCAGTTCTTACAACTAACTGACAAGTTACAATTGGGTGTGTTTGTCTATGTTCCCACATGCTCTTGTTCCAAATGGTTCTCGGAAGGGAACATCATGACAACTTTCAAATAATATTATCCTTTTTAGAGCATTTTTGGTACAAAGTTTCAGTTTAACCACTCTATTTTAACAATAAAATATTTGTCTTTGGAGTTAAAGTTAACACCATCCAATGACATCTTAATCATGCTTTGAACTACTGATCTATAAACTTCACTCTCAATATGAGTTCGAGTATATGGACCAAATCAAAGAAAAGTATTATCAGTATGGATTTTGAAGATATGTCTATGTAAAAGAGCTACAAGTAGCATCTTAAAATAAGACGTGTCTTAACTTTTGTCAAATAAGGATAAGGAATAAAGATTTATACAATATTCATGTCGGTGTCAATAATAAGCCCATATAAAGCAGATACTAGTATATAATTTAACAGTGATAGAATTTGAATAGAATATCATTTAAAACTTTAACATTTAAAAATAGATCCATGGTTTACAATTCATTTTAAAATTGAAAGGAACCTTCCTGGTTGGACCCTGTAGCCCCCCCCCCCCCCCCCCCCCCTAGGAAGTGCCTTTATGTTGAAATACCCTGGGCCGACTGTCAGGCTACCGCGTTGACATCTCCCCTCATTACCAGTAGTGAAGGCTTTTTGCTTACATAACTAATGTTATAACTGTACATGTATACTGCAATATCTCTAACCTGTACATCAGCTTTTGAATTTAATTTATGACACTCTCAATGTCAGATCATGCAATGGATTACTTAACTCTCATAAACTTAACTCTTATAAACTATACTCCAACTCTAAGCATATATTAATCTTTGTTATCTCTGAGAACAATGAAACTCTCATATGAACAACAATGAAATTATACTTTCATAAGTGATTTCGTAAATTCACCAACACGTTTTCACTGGACATTAGGTAGAAACTAGATGCAAGAGAAACTGGGTGAGAGGATCTTTGTCAACATTCTGGGGTTAACTTTCTTGAAGTTTCATGTAAAAAGGGATTCGATCATAGAAACATGTCGGGTTTGACACCCTCAGGGGTATACAAGAGGAGGGAACCAACATATGACAGCTACTACTCTGACAAGAAAGCTACTACATTAGATGTAGTACATGTAAACCTAGCATTTGATGCAACTGAAGATGATGTTAATGCTGACAATGCTATGAATGGTCACACATCAAGTGAAGTAGATACTACAGGAAAACACATACATGTGGCTACTACTGATGCTGACATTAGTGCACCAATAAAACACAAAGATGATACACAGTCAGAAACAAGTGAATCTAATTGCTGCATTTCAGCTATTGGTCGCACACAAGGAACACTGCAAAATTTCTATGCATCATATGAAACACAAATATTGGGATGCTTCGGAATTCTTCTCCTTCTTGGTTATGCAGGTTATTTTGGCTATGCTATGTATTACAAGTTCGGTGATGAAGGCTCTATAAGACTCCTTGTCATCACATCATTTGCAGTTTTCTGTACAGTCTGCTCTATAATAAAAACACATTTTGGAGATAACATTTATACTGGATGCATAGAACCAGTTGTCGTGTTTCTGAGAAGATACTGGAAATACTTAAAATGGTAAGTTGTTTTATCTCCTTTTAAAAATACTTTTCATGTATGAAGAAATACCTCAATATATACAAGTTTGTCTTTTCATAGTATTCTCATTTGTTTGAAGTGTACTTTGTTGTTCTTTCAGGTTAGGGGTGTTTATCATAACTGGTGGATTTATAGCATACATTATAGCAGATATAGCTTTGAAGTTTCCGGGCAACCTCATCTCTCTCAGTGGAATTATAGTTTTCATCTCACTCCTCTATCTCTTCTCCAACAATCCCAGTAAAGTGAAATGGAGACCTGTGTTCATGGGTATGACTCTACAATTGGTGTTTGGGCTCCTGATCATACGCACATCATTTGGCTGCCAGGCATTTACCTGGCTCGGCTCTCGAGTGAGCGAGTTTCTTGCACATACAGATGCTGGCTCAAAGTTCGTGTTTGGTGACACTTTTGAGGAACATCTATTTGCAATGAAGGTGAAGCAATAATCCTTTAGGCCAAAAAAATATATGCTTATAAGTATGAAGATGGCACCAACTAATGTTGATATCTCCAAATTATCATTATATTACTAAATGTTGATATTTCCTTCTCAAATAGCTCCCCTGACCTCATTTATGCATGTTTTAATGACTTTCAGCTTCTGCCCATCGTGATCTTCTTCAGTTGCATTATCTCCGTGCTTTACCACCTTGGGTTCATGCAGCTGATCACTGAGAAGGTTGCCTGGGTGATGCAGATAACCATGGGAACCACAGCAGGGGAGTCTGTCAATGCTGCAGGAAATATCTTTCTTGCAATGGTATGTCAACCAGCTCAAAATCAGATCCTGGCCATGACCTCGTGCATCCTTATCATCAAACTCCACCATTTTCATAAGATTCATTTTCAAAGCTTCAATTGATAGTATGAATTCATATTTTCTATATACATGTGTCTCATGCCTGACTACATCCTACTCATATTCACACATGAAATAATACTAAGATTCCTCTATATCTTAAATTACAGACAGAGGCTCCCTTGTTAATCAGGCCATTGTTAAAGGACATGACAAAGTCTGAGTTACACGCTGTTATGACTGCAGGTTTTGCCACAATAGCTGGTAGTGGAATTGCCACTTTAATTGTACTAGGTGTCCCAGCCAACCACTTGCTATCTGCATCAGTAATGTCTGCCCCAGGAGCCCTGGCAACATCAAAGCTGTTCTATCCAGAAGAAGAAACATCAAAGACAACTGTTGCAAATATACAAGCAATGGGGAAAAGGTATGAGTGTACTTGCTGATCCTGATATAAAAAACATTCGGAAATTAGAAGTTCTAGTAATTGAACAAAGAGACTTTCTTTAAGTTTCTAGCAAGACTAAATATATCATTTGTGCAAAAATGATAGATTGATAGTTGAGCTTAATTTCGGAAAATTTCTGTGCCTATTTCTGACAAAAAGAACTTTTTCAGAAAAATAGAAATTGAGGCCTAAATTAACAGTGCTCATTTCAGCACACACACCAACATCATAGAGGCTGCATCAAGTGGGGCTTCTTCCTCTATAAAGGTGGTCGCTAACATTGCAGCAAACCTGATAGCCTTCCTTGCAATGCTGGCATTTATTAATGCAACTCTAGCATGGCTAGGTGCCAGAGTGGGACTTGAACCACCACTGTATCCGACACTTACATTTCAGGTTAGAATGTGGGTTATAACATCAAGAAGAAAATAAGAATGCAGTGTTTCACATTAACTATTTTCATTGCTTTGTTAAGAAGAGAAGTTCAGAAAATAAGTAAACAAAATAAATTACTATTTGTGTGTTATTTAGTGCATTTCTTTTGAGAACACCATTTATAAGTCTTAAGAACTATCTGTACATTGGTAGGCTGTACTAAAATAATACAGGACCAGAAAGGGTAAAAATAATGTACTTGCCCGAATCCCAGCTTATTTTGTTTCCAATTTTATTTTTACCCTTTTATTTGATTCTCCTTTTCTAGTTCATCATGTCCTATTTGTTGTGGCCCGCTGCATTCCTGATGGGAGTGCGCTGGCAAGACTGTCGGACTGTCGCCCAGCTGATTGGTATAAAGACATTCCTAAATGAGTTTGTGGCATATACTGATCTTGGTCAGATCATAAAGAATAGGAAAACCTTCGAGAACTATACATCCATGTACAACCACACCAGTGTAGAATACATGCCAAATGGGGAAATCTTTCTTGGAAATACAAACAGCACTTTGGTCGGTGGAATGATAGAGGTATCAATTAGAATATATACTTTTATGTATGTGGAAGCACACAATGTTATTCATTAAATCAAACACCTTTAGGTTATCCACAAGACCTTTATTCCCATGGTACCCAGAGGGTGTATTGTTACAGGGTGCCTGTCACAAGGGCATACTCACCAATAAAATAATTAAGTTTACAATTCCTTTCTCTTCCAGCCAAGGTCTGAGGTCATTTCAACCTATGCATTATGTGGCTTCTCAAACATTGGATCTATTGGTATATTACTGGGAGGCTTAGGGGCAATGGTACCAGAGAAGAGGGGAGAGATTTCCAAGATGGCAGTCAGGGCTATGATTGCTGGAATGACCACTGACTTTCTCACAGCTTCCATTGCAGGTATTAAAATCTAGGAAGTCCATGTTAAAATTTGTCAATATTAACTTAATCATTATAAAGCAAAACTTGTGTATGGTGAATACCTCTATAGAGCCACATAAATGTGTTCATTGCAGTGTTCACTAGAGAGAGGTATTCCATTAGACATGTTTAACTACAGTATAGTTAATTATAGTCATTGTGGAGAAAGAGAAAGAGCCAAATATAAATTTGAGATGAGGACCGGCAAATAAACATCAATATTTTGTACAGTGATGCATTATAAAACTCTTAAAATACTGATCTGATACATGTTTCCAATTGCTGACATTTTGTGTATCATCTTGCAGACAATTCTTTTGTTACACTATTATGTAATTGGAAACAATGTGTATATTTTCACAAAAGATTCATGAATTTCAGGACTGCTTTACCAAGGTGGTTCATCAAGCTGCTAGGTTAAGTGGGATCAAATATATGTTCTCAACAGTAAATAGATATACACCATACCGTGATTCTGAACTGCAGCATCTACACCTATACCAATTGATATGGACTCACAATAAAAGACTCACAAAGATACAGCAGTAATGATAAATATTGAGTAAGCTCAGTACGGTGATGATAACATTAAGGTGGACCTGTATTACATGGTATTTTTACATAACGTTACATGTTAATGGTTGAATACTCTTTATATTTGGCCTACCTTAAGAAGACTTAAAATACATTACTACAATATACCCAAATGAAAGAGCAACTATTTAGAGACTAAAACTCCAGAAAAAGAGTTTTAAATGAAAAAATATCCAGACTTTAAAGCTATAATTATTAATCAACATTAGTAATGTAACGGTAACTACCTACAGAAGTAAGTTCCAATCATGGACTCAGTGAACTTGGCATTAACTGAAGTACTTGTTATATATTTATACTACTTGATAGTTTACATATTACTAGAACCATACTTGACCCTACTAACAGTCATTGATAAATGTTCTCAACAAGAGAGAAACTTCCATAATTGCCTGGACTATCTACTTATAACATATCATGCTACTTAGTTTCAGATCTTGACCTGTTAATAATACAAAATAATAAACACTTTAGTTCAAAAAAAAGTTTGTTTTGAGGCAGAAATATCTGTTAGTATTTCACAACTGAAAATAAAGCAAGAACAACAGGAGGGCGAAAGGGATAATCCATTCTCCGACTACTTCAACTGGCACAATATCTTCATCCTGGATTAAGAGGAATTATAGAGAAACACAAAGGACAACATTTGAAAAACACAAAACATCAGACCCCCTTTAAGAAAGCAATAGGTCCAAATGATACAGCTGATTTAGTTGTCAGAATATATTTATGATTCTATATTATTCAATGTATGCTTGCAATATATTAGAAAGGTAAAGCTGGCTCAGACTTCAGAAAATAATTACCCCTGCCTGTGCATTCATGAAAAACTGCATTGGAGCTTGTATCAACAACTCCTTGAATAAATTGCTGATTTCTATGTCGCCAAGAAATAATTGTATTTATATGAATACATAATTTGAATAGTGAATAAAACATTGATGCCATCTGTAAATAATGCTAAAATAAAACAATGATGATAACAAAACTATGATGATGATATTTTGAAACAATGATGACTATACTTGTACATTGTTATAATGTAAGAGCTTGATTACAAGTCTCACAATTTGTCTACATGTTAAACATATGGATAAACATGATTTACTTACTTGTATATGAATAGAGAATAAATACAAATATTTTACTTACTTGTACTTGAACCGAGAATTTTACATACTTACTTGTATTTGAACTGAGAAAAACAAATAATTTACTTACTTGTATTTGAACTAAGCAAAAACAAATAATTTACATACTTACTTGTATTTGAATGCGAGCTATGGCCTTCTTTAAGCCTACATCTTGTCTTCCAGTATTTGAGGTTGAGTGAGAAGCCATACTTTGACATCTTCACTCTGAAACTCCCTTGTTATTAATCCTAATATATTTCTTAATAATCTTCAGCAATTACCACATGATATATACATTCCTGTATAAGTTTCCAGATAAAAACTATTCCCACGAAAGTGAAATTAAATGCTTATCCATAGGAAGTCAAGAGTACCATAAAAATATTTATATCCATCCATTTGATTTCATATAGGTCAGAACTGGCGGTTAAAAATTATCAGCCCCAATTGGAGTCAGGTCGAACAAGCCACTATTTAATCCAAGGTGCTCTTGATTTTCCTGAAATCTTGCTGAACATCACTTAAATGCTAATGTTACAGCGCCTTTAACATACTCCCAAATAACTCACTTTAAATCTTTCAGATTAGCAATCTCCGTATTTTCTGTTTTCTTGATCTCATGTCAACAGTGCTACAGGGGGTTGCTAATATGATGAGGTACGCATTTCCAGGCGTAGAGTTGACAGAGATGTAAAGGTATCCAATCCTGATAAGATATTGGCAACTACTGCATGGTTCAGTTGCTAGCACGCGTTCACAGCCTCACTGTTCATTTAATGCCTCAGGTTCACTAGTATAGTGAATGTAAATCACTCAGAGATGTTGTGTTGTGGTGCTTTTCTCCCCATTGGATCAGGCTTTCAAGCTAAGCTTATCTACCTTTACTGGCAATTATAGACAAGGAACTATACATTTACCTATCATTTCTTCTCTTGCTGTCAATATATATTGGTAAAGCTAGATATTCCTATTGTTTGAAAATTTCATTCTTTATTTGGGACAAGTCTTTTAAAATACAAACTATCTATTAACTCCAATTAATGATTTAATATACTGTTAGGCGTGTTTCAAATCTCCCTCACTTTTTTAATCCAAATCTCTCTCTCCACTGTAGAAATCAATGTTTTCCTTTTGAAATATTACTGGAAAATGAGCTTCCTGCCGAAGTTGTATGTTGTTCTTGTTGACAGCTCAAACATATGAGATATCCATCAGCCTATTCAGACTTTTTTTATTTTGACAACCCAAGTGAACCAGATGTTAAGCTACTCTCTCCAAACACAAGGTGAAAATGTTTATACTTAGTTCCACTGAAACTTCATCTGGTAAAAAAGAAAATCCTAAGTTAATTATATATCTAGACCAAAAATGAATGACTGAAATCTGGATGAAAACATCACGAATGTACTAATACTGTATTTATTTCCTTGATGTTCATTCTTTGAGGTTTCTGTGATTAACTGATTCAGTTCTGGCCTTTATCCACCAAAGTTATCAATGAGATAAGCTGAGTAAGCCAGAGACTGCCTCAATTCTGTTTTGTGTCAAATCCTTCAGTGATATATCAGTAAACATACAAACAGTCTTTGTTTAGATGATAAAAGTGTCCATGAACCACTATGTACACCTGGCTTTATAATACGTTATTTTTGCAATTTTTTATGCAATGTTTTATGTCCAGCAGTTTCATACAATTCACATTGGGAAACATCCTACTTACACAGACATTATCTTCTCATATATGATTTTCAACTATTTTATTGGCGCATTAATAGTCACACAAATTGGGTGTTATTTTCTTGTATAAACCATATTGTGATTTATCAAAACTGAGTCTCTTTATTCACATACATTCCTCAAGTTCATACATCATGTTTCACTGTCAAGACATGCAGGATAACTTATTTCATTTTCTGCTTGACTTTTCAATCTCTAATCTTTCAATCATCAGGTCAACTTTTTTCATTTCATCAAGCTATTTTATAGTTGTAACACATACCGTCTTAATTGTGTATTTTCACAAATCCTCAGGTCTTGAAAAATCACCTGCAACATCTGACTCAACCTTAGTTGTAATTAGAACTAAGACTAAACAACAGAAATCAGAGCAATAAGACCATAGGAAGTTTGACCTTTCCAAGATTATGTATTGCGCATTGGAGATAATCTATCACCCAGTGGAGCCAAAGGCTCAAGTCTATGATAACCATGTTACACAAAATCTATGTAACCCCAGAATCATGTAACCCCAAGTCTGTGTAACACCAGAACCATGTTATACAATGTCTATTGTTGCAACATAACCATTTAACTCAGTGTCAATGTCACACCAGAATCATTTAACAATGAAACTCCACCTATTAAATCAAAAATCTACATCACAACAGAAAAATGTAAGACAACTAAAAATTTATATAGCATCAAAGTGCTGTAACACAACATATATGCAACATCAGTTCCATGTAACTCATGATTATGTAACACCTGTTGCCAGAGCAAACAGAGAATTAAGCCCAGTTGTTGTGACATTTCCTGCTAAATTTCTTAGCAAATGAGAAATTTAGAATAAGATGTAAGCTGAATTCTATCACATATAATTCAGAATGAACAGTGTAAAACTACATAGTTTTACATGATTGTTGTATGTTGTATGGTAATCTTATGTACTTGAGAGAAAGAAGGTTAGAGAGGTCGAGACACCCTAGCATTTTGAAGTTTGAACTAAACATTTGGAAAACATATTTTTATCTAGCAATTATAGCACAGTAATTGCTCAATGTTGAATGTTCAGATGCACATGGTTTTCATCTCAAGCTAAAACATATTTCCTCATCTGATGTTGAACATGGACTTTGAGAAAACATTTCCAGACACTACCATGCTCCATATAAATGCACTGTACATAATAGGCTCAATACACTGTAATGTTAATGCACTTTTTTGAAATCATGACATGAATAAATGATGACTAATTGATATCAAATTTATCTAAGCACAGTGAAACGTGTCAAGTAGAACACCTCTAGAAGTAGAACACCTCTGTTAGTAGAACACTTTCCAGAGTCTAAAGACCAACTGACTAAATCTTAATTGAACCTCTGTAAGTGGAACACCTAAAAAGTGGAACACTTTTAGAGGTACCAAATATGTTCTTCTTAATAGACAGGTTTTACTGTACTCAACTTTAACTGTCTTAGATATCAATTTGCAGTAAGAACGACATCTCAACACATCTATCTCATCATTCATCAAGGACTCGGCATGGGTCTAGAGAGGATGAAAGAATAACATACACTTATCAAGACAAGATACTAATAATTAAACAAATAACATTTACAGATAGGATATCAGTAGCAATGAAAGAAATATTATACTGAAAATTGAGAATCTGATATCTGATGAAGCCATATCAACCAATTAGAAGAACATCAACAAAGTGCTGTATATCAATATGTTCAGTGTAATTGACATATTTCACAAATTATTCTGTGACAAGATAATAGAGCAAACCCATTATATATAAGAGAGGTTTGATAGATTTAACCATGAATATGAACATCAATTCCCTTTTCAAGACTGCTTTAGCCACTTTAAAAAGAGCTTCATATTATTTACTATATCGTGGGCCAAAGGGTTAACATAAGTTGATTGAAGAAAATATGACATATTTCAATTCACAAGGGACAACCATGGCAAGCAGCCTAAACAGAAATTTCATAAATCTGAAAAAGCAATATTATATATACCCAAAAAGTATGAAAAAGAAAATAATCATTTGATTTATTAAAACAAGATCACAGTTCAAAAAAGTTATTACATGGGACGAGCTATTCAAATGTAGAGATCACATTATATATTGCAATACTCCTATTCGCGATAAGAGTTCAGGTGGTAATTTACATAAATATCTCCCATGATGCATCGCTTTGGAAGGGACAAATTTTCATTGGCCCGCCGAACGAGTCAATTACTCTGAACGTTTCTCAGCTTCTGATCTTCATCAGCCCTCAAGCATAGTTATATAATCCAATCTATTCAATAATCAGAAAGATAATCGGAGATTCAAAGTAACATTATTTATATTTTTCGATATTCGATGGCGTCTGAGCAATTTCTGGGATATCAGTGACGTCACTGGAATTGGACGGCATTTTCAACTACACATTTCTTCGGATTTGGGGATTATAGCTCAAAAAGCTTTGTCATATATCTTAATTACATACATACCTATCGTTTGTGCAA